AAACTGGGCAAAAAGTGCGCACTATACATGGCAAAATACATACAGGTCGTAAGAATGGAGATCTCAGGCATGGGATTAGAACCCTTCTAAAAGAGACTCCAGAGAACGCCCTTGTCTCTTCTGCCTCGTAAGGACACAGGAAGACGGCTGCTGTCTCCGACCCAGGAGGAGGACTCTCACCAGACTCTGAATCTGTTGATCAGTGCCTTTGTCTTGGACTTCCAGCCTTCAAAGCTGTGAGAAACAAGTTTCTGTTGTCTATAAACTGCCCAGTCTGAGATATTCTGTGATTGCAGCCCGAACCAACTAGACAGAACCCTAGTGAAACTTGGAGTCTTTCAAATTCAATCTTTCTGGTTTTTTTGAACCCTTCAATTCAGCTCCACTGGACGGATGCATGTCTAGTGCCTTTACATTTGCTCGGCACTGTGCCACACCCAGGTGTCAGCGGTCAGCAAAATAGGCAAAACTCCAAAACTCACGGGGTGCTTCATTTTAGTAGATCAATGTTTGATACATTCATTTACACTATGAATTTGTATTATAATGTTTCTTAAAATGTGTGTGTATGTGGAATTTTTTTATTTTACAATATTAAAATTCACCAGAAAAATTTATCTTTCAAGTGAGGGACTTATTAAAAGTACTTTATTTTTTAGAAGATTTTATTTGTTTATTTTTAGAGAGGGGGTGAGGAGGAAAGAAGAAAGGGAGAGAAACATCAATCTGTGATTGCCTCTTGTGCGCCCCCACACCAGGGACCTGGCCTGCAACCCAGGTATTTGATTCCCAGGCCCTGACTGGGAATCAAACTAGCAACCCTTCAGTCTGCAAGTCACCACTCAATCCACTGAGCCACACCAGCCAGGGCCAAAGTACTTTATTTTTAAATGAATAATCTCACCTAAGTAATTTCATACATGTCCACTGTGTTCATATGTTTGGTTTCCTAAAGAGGTGAATCTTTTTTAATGTATGAAGAAAGTTTTCCCAGAGAAATGTACGATGCATTTGGATCTAATAAGCATACATTTTGGCATTTGGGAAGTTGTCATTAATCTTGTTTCTTTTACACAGATAATGCCTTACCAGCCATGCAATGATAAAAGACAACCACTAGTAGTCACTGTGGACCCACTCCTTCGGCCCAAGCTTTGCTTTCTATGTGGGCTTTCCATGCTTGTCGCCAAATTTGCCAGTATGACACGAATCACAAGTTAGTTTGATTGACCATTTTTAAGGTAGATTTTAGGTAAATTGTAGAACAGTTAACAGTTTATAGTTTAGTAATGCATCTGGGATATAGGGCATTGACTGGCTCTCTAATCCTCCCCTTTAAGTATCTTCAAATAAGAATAAAATTAAGGAATTTATGCCGATGCCAAAGGAAAGACACTTAATTTTTCATAATGGGAAAACTATTGGACCTAAGGCCGGAAGCCCCAGGTATACCTTAGTAGTTCTGTTACATACTATAGAAATGTGAAGAGAGAAAATTGCTGGAAAGACCTTTCCCTGGAAGGTCTGGGGACTCACTGTCTACACCTACCTGGGATGACTGCCCCCAGAGAGCTCGACTCTCACAGCCGATGGAGTGAGTGCCTGGGACCACGGTGGACCTGAAGTGCCAGTTTGTTGATCTATGCTTTGTGGGAAGTCAGGTTCTAATCACAAGCAGGGTTTGGGAAGTAGAGTCCTAGCCAAGGAGTGTGGGTGATTTTAGAGAAAGTCTCTTAGTTAAGACAGCTTGAGGGACTTCCCCGCTATACCGAGGGCCTTGCCAAAGGGACCACATCCTTGGAGCCTCGTACCATCTCCTGTGGAGGGTGGAGGATCCTCCTTTATTATCTGCCTGTTGGTTCCCAGTGCTTCCCTGGCTGCCCCACTAACTTTTCAGTAGACATACTCTACTTATGGTTAATTCATCAAAAAGTTTATGCTTTGCTGGCCTCCTTTGAGTGGCTATTGTATCTGTCATGAGAGCATTTAGACATTATTTTACACTCTTTCCCATTAGATAATTATTGGGAATTATTGAGATAATTATTGTCTCTATCAAAGGCAATACATATTTCTAATTGCTTTATACTGCTTATGAATAATACTAACTGTAGGTAATATTTCTGAGTGTCCATCAGTGCTGGGAACTGTGCTATGCACTTTGTATAAGTTATCTTACTTAAGTTTTATCACAATGACCTTGTAGGGGCATCTGCCATCCTCACTTCACTGATGAAGAACCTGAGTGTACCGAAGGTTAAGGGACAGCCCAAGTGATAAAGTCAGAATGTGAACTCAGGAGGTTCCATCCCAAGGTCTTAACAACTTGACAGACAACTCTACCATCTAGTGCCTGAGTTCTGGAATCTGGCTTTATAAATAGCTGTGTGTATGTGACCTGTGAGTAATCTGGGCATTGTTGAATTCTTATTGGTACTGGTTGGATTTTTATCATTAGACTGCCAAATGCTAATGGAATCACAAGAGCACAAACTTTATCAATGTTTTTTCAATGAAATAATGTTGTTTGGGTTTTAGATTTTACGTTTTACTTAATACAAAAGCTGTTATTTTTAAAGTTGTAAGGAAATATCTGAAAATATCCGGATCAATAGACCCTGGTGATGAAATGCTCCTAAACACAGTGAATGGCTCCCTCATCAGAGGAATATACGAGGTCTGTCCAGAAAAAGTTCAGCCGTTGTCAGCATAATGACAATGGCTCACTCAAATCAGTGTACCCTGGCAGCCAAGGAACTGGAATGGGAGTGCATGAACAAGGATGACTTCACCGTGGGGGCAGGAGACGTCACTGAGTGAGCATGTGGACTGTGTGGCCGTCACATTCAAAATGACTGAGAGAGTAGAGCAATGAATCTGCATCCAATTTTGTGTTAAGACTGAACATTCCTCCACGGAAGCTATTCAGATAATTCAGAAGGCCGCAGCTATGGGCAACTGGTGATTGGCAGCTTCATGACAATAATGTGTCCACTCACGCATCGTGTCTCATGCAGAGTTTTTTGCCAAAATATCAAATCACCCAGGTGACTCAGCCCCCCCTACAGTCCAGATTTGGCACCCTTCGACCTCCAGCCTTTCCCAAAACTAAAATGACTTTTGAAAGGGAAGAGATTTAGGACCATTAATGAGATTCAGGAAAATGAATTCAGGGTCAGCTAATGGCGATTGGGAGAACTGTGTGAGGTCCCAAGGTGCCTACTTTGAAGGGGACTGAGGTGTCATTGTCCTATGCTCAGTGTTTCTTGTATCATCTTCAATAGATGCCTCTCTTTTTTTTCAGGTTACATGGCTGGATACTTTCTGGCCAGACCTCCGCACAGTTTCCACAATCAAACTTGTATGAATACAGGAAGAACACACAAAGAGCAAGACTTCTGAATCATCATATTATAATAACTCTAGCCTGGGTTTATTGTGTTCTTACTGTGTGCCAGACATTGTTTTAAGCTCTGTATGTATATTAACTCAATCATCAAGAAACCTATGAAGCAGGCACTATTTTTATTCCTACTTTACAAATGAGAACACTGAGGCCCAGAAAGGTAAAGGAACTTGGTCCCACAGCTAGTTAAGTAGTGGAACCAGGGTTTGAACCCAGGCATCCTGGTCTTCTTTCTTAACTGTTGTGCTCTCCTTAAGGTGTAGGTAGTCTACACACACAGACACTGAATATTCGATGCCCTGTCATCTATCACGGAGCCGTTTCTTTGTGCACTTGAGCTCTCTGGGGACTCCTCAGGGCCAGTCTTCCTTGGATGACGTGGTAATTTGCCCTGACCCCCAGTATCAGGGATAGCTGTGAGAAAGCTTAGTACCTATGATTTAAGATGCACATCTTAGAGTGTTGAGTAGGAAGTTTTTGTGCTCGATGAAATCCTTCACATGTTTAAATCTTATGATGGTGATAGAGAGGCATAAGATAAGCCAATTGTTCCAAAGGGGGTTAAAACTGTTTAATATTATAAATACAGGAGGACTTCTTTACATGATGGAAAGATGCCCATGATGGGTTTTCTCTGAATTACTGGAGAGAAGGTAGGTTAATGTTGATGATGATAGCTTACATTCATAGAGCGCTCTGGGCCAGGCAGTGTTCTCAGGAGAGTGCAGGTATTAACTTACAGCGAACTCAGAGCAGTCAGCCTAGCTTTCATTGTGTCAAACATGGGACGCATGAGCCCTTTACGAATTTTCAGGAAGTGGCAATACTTAGCGGGCGGGTGGGGAGGCGGGCCCTTGCCATCTATTCCCTCCCAGCTGTGTGAAGTGAGCAACTTAACCTCTCTCATACTGATTCCTCAGGGGTATTGAGTCAACAATTGTTCCTACTACAAATGGCTTTTAGGATAATTAGTTAATGAGAGGTTTTACGAGATAATACATAAATATAAATGCACGCACATAGTACATGACACAGCTGGGTCAATGAGTTGCTGTTGTCGTTATCACCGTTAGTTATTCTGGTCCTGGACGCCTCCGATGATTTTCGACTAGAGAAAGGATCCTTTTCTTTTAACTTGTAGCTATGGTATGCGGAATGCTTCACCTCTGTGCCTTATAAGGGCAATTCCCAGCTCGTCAGTTACAGTCCAGCGGAGGAACTGCAGGGGACGCCCACGGGAGCACCGGGGTCCCTGCTCTCAGCAGGGATGGGGATGAGAGGCAACAAGAGAAATACTTCCCAGCAAAATAGAACTCGCGCCTGACGTGAGCCCTCTTGGAGCCCTCTTGGCGCTCCGCAGTTTTGGGACCTGGATAGATTACAATACTTTACTTTCCAACACTGACTGCGAGATGCTCCAGCGGCCGGGCGCCGTGGTCGCCCCCTCCTTTACCCCGCTCCAACACAGCCCACACCGGACCCCGCCCCGCGATTGGCCGGCGGGACCCGGGGCCATCTCCGATTGGCGCTCGCGCCAGGCTCCGGGGTTTAAAGAGGGGGCGGGGGCTGGCCGCCCTGCCCCACTCTAGTGCGCTTGTCGCGGTCCCGGCAGTTCTCTGGTCGCGCCGTCGGAGCTGGGCTTGCAGCCTCTCCGGGCCTGACGCCGCCTCCAGCGTCCCGCAGCGGGCTGTCGCCAGCCAGCGGCTCTCGAGCGCGCGAGAGGGGGGACCAGGGCAGGTGCGGTCCATCCCGGGGCGCGGGCACAGCCAGTGAGTAAGGGGCGAGACGCAGGGACACCAGGACGGCTATGATGGTGGCCACGTGTCTGCAGGTAGTGGGCTTTGTCACGAGCTTCATAGGCTGGATCGGCATCATCGTCACCACGTCCACCAATGACTGGGTGGTGACTTGCGGCTACACTATCCCTACGTGCCGCAAGCTGGATGAACTGGGCTCCAAGGGGCTGTGGGCTGACTGCGTCATGGCCACGGGGCTGTACCACTGCAAGCCCCTGGTGGACATCCTCATCCTGCCGGGTAAGGACCCCCGCCTAGCAAGTGGCTGCTCCCAAAACCTTATCCCTGGGGCAGACGGGGAAGGGGGCACTAGGCAAAACATTTTCAGCCCTTGAAGCCTGTTGGGCTTATTTCTGACACCATGAGTCTCACCTTGTTGTAGAGGAACCGAACAAGAAAGCTCAGCCACAGCTTTCTGGTCTGGAGTTTGGGAAGGTAGTGGTGGCCACTGGCAGAGTCACCCTGAGAAGTTAACGACCTGAGACGTAGACACAAACCGGCATCCCAGCCCATGTGAATAACTGTCTCCACGCCTGCCCATACTCCCGCTGTCAACGGACCAGAACTAGAACTTCATCTCCCAGCCCGGCCTGCTTCCGCAGGTACCCTCCCTTCCCGTTAGACGCTGTCTGCTGAGGCCAGGAGAGAGAGAGAGATGCCAAGTGCTGCAGCGAGTTTCCCTGTCCTCGTGGGACGTGGGACGGGTGACACATTTAGGGCCCACAGAGCTGCCACAGGTCGGTTCCCGCAGGCCCCGGAGCCCGTCTTATTTCCCTCCCTGCGCCTCTGCTGTGGGGGCGTCTGTCTGCCCTGCCCAGCCTCCCCACCCCTGTAGGGAAGAACGGGCGTCCCTGGAGGGCGCAACCCCAAAGGGTCGCCCCCTCCCGGCCAGCTGTGTCTCAGAATGGGTAAAGGAGGGAGGGAGGGACTGGCCTCCCACCGTCCCCCACCCCCAACCCAAAGCAGGCCGGGGGCCCATCTTCACTTGCTGCCGGGTTGAAGAAGTCTGAGCAGCAGTTCCAATTCAGATTTAAACCTTGAACTAGTGGGATGACTGACAACGTCGCGGGAACCCCTTCACATTTTCTGCTTGGAATCTGTGTCCTGCCACGCAGATATATAAGCCCTCGCCAATAGTGCACGATTAATTGCCTTACGTCTTGCTAGCCTTTGTGGACATGAGCATTGAACACAATGCATACGCCAGTATCCTTAACAAGCCACGTAACTCGGTGCTACCCAGCAGGCCGAGGCCCCCAGTCTGGGAGCCTGTCTCTGTGCTTCTTTTCCTTTGGGATGAGCTTTGCTGCTCCCCCTTTAAGCCTCCCCTTAAGTGTCTCCTATTAGTCCCTGTAGTTCGAGTCGACCCCCTCCCCCACTTCCTCCTTGCTGCCCTGGTATTTGGCCCTTATCCCCATCACAGCACAATTTGACTTGATTTTTGTTCATTGCTCATAAGCCCCTTCTCCTACTGGATTTTGGAATTCCTGAGAATATAGGTGACCTCCTACCTTCTTTGCACCCTCTTCTGGACCCAGAATTGCTCCCGGCACATAGTAGGTGTGCACAATGCATGCCAGTCCTGCATTCACAACCCCTTTCTCCATTTTGTACTTCTAGAATGGCAGTTCTTGGGAACCCAGGTGTGGACCCAGCTTCCCTTAGTGCTGGTGTTGATAGACCTTGGTCAGACTTGGGTCTCTGATCTTGGGTCAGATCCCGTGCACAAGATCTGGGTCATCTGAACAGGTTACTAACCTCTATGAACCCCAGTTGTCTTCTTTTAAAAGTTAAAATCAAACTAACCCTCTGTCTTTTAGGGTTGTTTTGGGGGTTAAATGAGATGAGAAATGTAAAACTCTTTCTGTTGAAAATCAAGCAAGATATTTGTAGGAATCTTTGAAGCATTAAATTATTTTCTGCTTCCTTCCCCTGAAATTAAGTTTCCTAAGCATTCACTGCCCAGTGGTTTATTCTGAAAGAACATCGACTGTCTGACAGGGAGGATGTTTTGGGGAGGGCCTACTCCTTCCTGCTCTCCCTGTCCTTTGAACATTGGGAGGGAACAGTGTCCGTGTTTTGGTTTCCAGATGTGGCCTTGACACCTAGCATGTGGGCAGCCCACACCCTAAATTTTAGAACCTCAGTTTCTGGTTGACCGTCTCCCTTGTGTCAGCCCTAGCTCTTCCACAAGCTGGAGGGGCACAAGGCTGCGGTCAGAGGTCCTGCCCCAGACTTTCTGTGGGTCGTCTCTGGAGATCTTCAAGTCGGTCGATACTTGGTCGATGGGTTACCTTTAATTCTGAAGAAGCTGGGATGGGCCGTCATCAGAAGAGTACCCTGGTGGAGTCGAGTTCTAGCAGAGCGTATCCTGCCAAGAGACAGTGCTGCGGTTGCATCTTGGTGCACGGATCAGGCCGGCCAGATTTGGTGTGAGGGTCCTGGCCTACGAGGCAGAAGCTGGGGCTCATTTTTGACTTTTTCATGAACTCTGCCCCCCTGAGGCCGTGCTACTGGCTCTAATTTGCTCTGAGCCCCCCACCCCCCAAAAGAGTTATAAATACAACTTTTTTTTAGAGGAGGGAGAGTGTTTTAATGAGAAACAATACATTTAATTTTGTCAGATTCTCCCAGTAGATCAGACATATTTTACATAAATATTGTAATACTGTAACCTGTTTCTTAATAGAGTTGTTACCCGGCATTTTACTTGACAGTATAAAGTTTTGGTAGTTTTGCTTCTCTCTTATTCAACTTGGGTATTCCTTCATTTATAATTGTTTACTTACATACACAGTGGGCAGAGTTAACTAATCCAGGCGTCTGCACTCCAGGAACCCCTGGGGCTGGGGAGATGCCTTGAAGCAATGATAATGGAGTAGTAACACCAGTTAACCATAGGTATCCTTTTTAGAATGCTTCATATGTGCTAGGCACTATTCTAAACACTGCACAAACTAACGAACTTAATCTCTGTTGAATTTGGTCAGAGAGATGTAGGTACTATTCTTATTTGTACCCTATAGATGAGGAAAGTGACAAGACACAGTAGTTTAGTAACTTGCCCAAGGTCACACAGATAGAGCATGTCAACAACAGATTGGAACTGATAGCCCGCCCGTCACAGAAGGCTTCTTGGAAGGTTTGAAGCCTTCCAAGAAGGCTTCTGAATCCTTTACAAGTTGATATAAAAATGTGATTGGACTCCTGGCCCCTTCATCCTGAAACCTGGAGAAGTGGTCTAAACCCGGATCCCTGTTTAGTCTCTCTGTCCTTCAAACTCCCCTTTTTGTCACTGAGTCACCTTAAACCTTGAACATGTGACATGATCATGGGCAACATTTAACACCTTTTAGTCCTGGAATGGGCAGGTGGGAGGAAGGCAAGTGGCACGGAATTCCTGTGGGGCAGGGTTCAGAGTCCCAGGCGACCCTTGGTCTAACCCGCCCATCTGCTCTCTTGCTTCTAGGCTATGTGCAGGCCTGCCGAGCCCTGATGATTGCAGCCTCGGTCCTGGGTCTGCCGGCCATTCTCCTGCTGCTGACAGTTCTCCCCTGCATCCGAATGGGTCATGAACCTGGCGTGGCCAAGTACAGGCGGGCCCAGCTGGCTGGTGTTATGCTCATTCTGCTGGGTGAGACAGCGTTCTGTGTGGCTCCCAACTCTGAGTAAATGTGATGAATGTCAGATCTTGCTGTTGCTTCATCCAGTTCAAGAGATGCCTTGGCTTTTTAAGGGAAAGCCAAGAATCCCCTGTGGAATAGACCCCCCCACCCCCAATGTGTATCCTTTTTTGTTTCACAGGCGGTTTACGCAGAGGGAGAAGTCATATCTGTGCCGGGGTGGGGTAGGTCACTGAACATGAACATGAGTTAAGAAACAAGGCAAAACAGGGATTGGGAGGGTAGAAAATACCTGAGGGAGAGACCAGAGGACAGAAAAGAGTTACACAGTGGCTCTTCTCTCAGGCTTCACAGGTCCCATAGCAGGGCAGTTGAGTCAAAATTTCAGGGTATAAAGCCAGAAAAAGATATTTTATCAGATGAGTTTATGTGTAGTTAGGATTGAGAAGCTCAGTTAATTGAGAAAAAAAGAATAGAGGAAGAGGAGGGCGATGGAAAAGTAGGATGCTGAGTGTGGCAGATCACTAGGGCATGAGTCTATCTTTCATTCCATAAGTATTCTCTGAGCTCCTCCCAAGTGCCTGGCACCCCGGCAGACCCTGGGGGCGTTGGAAAAACTGTCAGTCTCTGCCTTGAGTGTGCCTGGACATCTTAATAATGAATGGTATGTGCTCACCTTAAAAAGCTGCATGCACTGTGCACACACATGGGAAGGCACCTCAGCCAGATCGGAGGAGTGCCCCAGAGCAGAGGATCCTGTGATAAGTTTTGAGAGTTGGAAAGAAGGTGGTCAGGTCATGGTCAGGTCATGGTCAGGCCATGGCCTGGAGGAAGGAACAGCCCTGGCCCAGGAAATGGTATATACTTGTTCAGTTTTTCTGATTACTCCCGCACAAAGTGGGCTTGATTTAACCACCTTGCAAGGAGTGTGTTTCTAGCTCCATGATCTTCAGTGATTTTATTTTTCTCTATTTTTCTCTTGAATGCCAATTCCACCAACACATTCTGAATCCTAACAGAAGACACAAATTTTAAAGACTCTTGTTGTAAAGTGCACTGATACATCAGTGAGGAGGAACTGGTGTGAGTAGGGTATAAAGTCAGGTTCTCCCAGGACAATGAAATCCCATCCTCAAACTGGTATCAGACCACATGCTTAAAGGGTGAGGGTAAGAGATCAGGGTTCTGTGTGGGCCATTGCCACTTAGTAAATGGTCACCCGCAGTGACACCAGTGAAGTGAGGGGACACAAGAGTTAGGGACACCATTTCACAAGATGACAAAAGAATGGAGGTTTGGGGGGCTTGTGAAGCCGCAGAGAATTCAAAGGAGGAGTGTGTGTGTGTGTGTGTGTGTGTGTGTTAACAGGAGTGAAAAGAGCAGAATACCACTGCAATTTCCCGAGAAGAATCTGGACACGGGACCAAAAAGAATGTTTGTGTCTCATGTCCAGACTCATGTCCAGGAGCCTGTGTGTGTGTGTGTGTGTGTGTGTGTGTGTGTGTGGTAACAGGAGTGAAAAGAGCAGAGTACCACTGCAATTTCCCGAGAAGAATCTGGACATGGATGTTTTGGTTCCATGTCCAGAGAATGTGTATCCATGTCTGTGTGTGGGAGTGCCACGTCAAACACACAGTCACAGCGTCAGGTGCCTCGTCTAACTCATCCGGTACTTTTGACAGTCAGGTGTTTGGATCCAAATTCCCTTTCCAACAGGTAGGCCAGAAAAAGCTGTACAAGTAAACTGGCTTGTAGAATCCAGAAGACACCCATCTCATCCTAGACACTTGCCTGTGTTTGTGACTTTTCTCATATTCTCACGGAAGCCCCAGAAGGCTTTCTCTTTGGCTACGAGGTGCACAGCCAAAGATGTGTCTGCTGTATTAGGGGTTCATCTTCAGAGATCCTGGCCTTCCATACAAGTGTCACAGAACGCCCCCAAGTAAGGGCATACGTTAAAACCCCCACAAGACCAAGCTCAAACCCTATGGAAAACAAAGACATAAAAGCAAAGCACATATAGACACATTGGCATTTTTAACCCCCCTGAAAACAACCTAGTTGCCCAGTTGAATAATAAGGGTTATTTGAAAAAAATAGCAACCAGTTGTTTGAAACTTGCCTAGCTGAATTCAATACAGTTTTCTTTACCTTTTTTAAAGGGTTGGTGGGTGTAGGCAGAATTGTAGGAAGGAAAGTGAGTGAGGCTGGGTATCAGTCCGTTTGCTGCCTGGAATGAAACGATGGAAGGGCTGACGCAGGGGGTGTTGAGTGATCGGAACCTCGGGGAGGCTGCACCTTTCTGGCCACTCTGCTAGGACTGGAGGGAGGGCACCGCTCCTTGGCCTCTTGTAGCCTTGGCATTTCCAGTGTTATCGGCTTCTTCTTTGATTGCCCCTGTCCGGATTTATTTCTCAGGGAGTGGCCACTCGCCTCTGGGTTAGGTGTTATTTTGACTGGAACCAGCTAGCTCTGGAAATGTAAAGCTCATTGTCTCAAGTGTGGCACCTGCTGGTCTCCCCGAGGCCTTCTCTCCACGGAGCCCTAGAGCCTTGTTTTCCCTGCCGGCAGAGGGTGGGAGGAGCAAGAGGGAGTGAAGGGTTCCTTTGTGTGGCTCTGGACTGGCTTCTGTCTGGGAGAAGCCAGTGCTGAGCTCGTGCTATGGTCTGGGGGCCACGAGCGGTGCCCCAGCTGAGGCGTGGTCTGTGACCAGAGGGCACCAGGCATCATGGGGGGTTTGGGAGTCCAGGAACTGGAAACAGTGCCAGAGTTAATCTTAGTATGGGGACTGTAAACATGGTTAATTAAAATCTGTTCTTTCTGGTCCTGAAAAATCTTTAATTATTTTCCCCAAAGCTTAAAACCATGGTTGTACAGCAGCTCTATTTCTCAGCAGTCTAAGTTTAAGGGTGTGAGGATTTGGTTCCTGTTGTGGGGGAAGCAGTGGAGGCCCAAGGCTGTTGGCTTCTGAAGCCGGAGGAGTAGCGCAGGGAGCAGCAGGCTCCGCAGATCAGAATGGATCTGAGGCGAATCTAATCTGTGGTTTTTCACAAGCCCCTGCTGAGGCAGGAGGTGGCTGTGCTTCATCTTCACATTTGGAGTCAGACCCACTGTACTGAGTCTCAGATTTACCACTTTCCAGCTGTGTGAACTGGGGCAGTTAACTTAATGTCTCTGAGCCTTTATGTAAAACAGGAGCAGCAATGCTTTCCGAAATTGGTTAGAATAGTAGAATGATCTAAGTTCTTTAGTAGGGTGTTGGCGCATAATACATGCTCAACAGATGGTTGCCATTGTTATTGCTGTGTTTGGTTAGAGGAACCAGAGGGCTAACCCACGGGGCTGTTGGGCATTCGTTCAATCATGTCTCATTTTTGCAGTGTACTCCCCACCAGTGGAACTGGTAAGGAGAGACCATGGTCTGTTCCTGGAAATACTAGGTCGTAGCCTGTGCTAATGGAAATAGTTCCTTTGTTTACTTTGTAAACAAAGAAACAAGAGTGTAGGGATCCATAGTCGGAGTTTTTTTGCTTATCACATTATAAGAAGCTACCTTAAGCTACCAAGCTGAAAAGGCTCAAGTTTAGTTATGATTCAGTCTAATGCTTCTCTCGCTGTAAGTTAGGAAGTACTTGATTCAGGTGTGTCTTAGAGAGATGGGATAGGAATGGAAGGAAAGGAGATGTGTTTTCCTTCTTAATGGAAACCTTTCATCTTCTTTCCTCCTTTTAAAAAATGGTCCCAGGAATCCTATTTGTATTAGAAAAAAAGTTGTTAAAACAACTTTTTAAAGTTCCCAGTTAAAACAACTGGGAACTTGCAGGCTAACACTGACACAGTAGTAAAATAAACAACACGAGCAAATGTGGGGCAAATTGAGCTTGCTGTGCACACGGAGTTGGATGTCTCGCGGGAGTGGGAATTCTCGGGTGTTGCTCTTAATTGCAGAGTCTTAAGAGAACTATTAGAACAATTTTTCCTCCAAACTCGTTATCTTTATAGAAACAAGTCCCTAATCTAAATCCAGTTTCACACGAGTGATGGAAAGGGTGTGGCGTCTTAGTGTGGGTGTGGCTGAGAATGGCCTTGTCAGTCAAATTGGAGGAATTACCAGTAACTGCTCTGTGAGGTCTCTCCTGCCTCTAAGTTCTGTGATTTTTCTAAAAAATCAACAAATAACCATGAGACTGGCTTTGAAAAATGGTTATGGGGGGAAAACGATACTGATGTACGGAATAGAAATAAAGGGGAAAGTGCTGGAAGCGGGCCAGGAAAATAATGTACTCAAATATTCCATCCACTTGATGATTGTTATAAAATTAGATGTTCATAAAAGAGGAATATATGCTTTGGCAACTATGCTTTCTTCAGTCAAAATTTAAGGATGATAAATAAAAAAAGAAAAACAAAAATTTTTCTAGTTTCAAATTGTGAGGAAACATCAGATAAATATGACTGCAACCAAGAGCTTTTCAGAAAAGCTGTCTGGTTGCCTTGAATTAACTGGCTTCTTTGTGAAAAGCTGACGCTGGTTGCCATATTGATCGTGTGTAGTAACAGTTCGGTTGTAGAAGACAATGTTTGATACATTGTAAAAGGTTAACTGGAGGGGAGTTTTAAAAAAGCTTTTATTATGGAAAATTTCAAGCGTACACAAAATATAAAGAGTAGTCTGTAAACCCCCATGAACCCAAACTCATTCTCAATAGTGATCCAGTCATGGCCAACCTTCTTCATCTATGTACATCCCCTTTTCTTCCAGCCCCCAGATTTTTTGGAAGCAAATATCAATAATATGAAGGAAGATTTTTTCCAGTATTACTAATATAAGTCAGATTGATTTAAGTGATTTTAATGGGAAGATTGCTTTGTATTAAAAATGATGCTTTGGAGAGTCCTTCCTTGCTTCACACTGAAAGACAGAGCCTGAGGACAGAGGTGCGCACGGAGGAAGACAGAAGTAGCAGGGGCTGGTCTTCTGCCTTTCTGGGCCTCTTCGTCTGTCTGTCTGTCTTTCTATGGTTTTCTGTCTCTCTAAGTTGTTTCCTCCAAACACACCTGTACTGATTTCATTTGGCTTTATCACATCTATTTGTCATTAAATTCCTAAAGGGATTAAAAACACACTTATATTTCATTGCTCTAAAATTGCCTTTCCAAATGTTTTCCGTGTTTGGCTACATGAAGATCAGTGCTCACTTTTAATAATGGTGTATTCTGCCAATTAAAGAACGCATAGTTTCCCATTATTTGAAACTTATCAAAAGAGGCAAACATTTTTATTTAATGAAGAGCAATGAATTTTACCTGTAGAGGACCAAGTCCAGATGAATCTTTATCTACATCATGGAGCTTTTCTCCCTTCTCTCCTTCTTTTATTTTTGAAGCTAAGAATATCTCCAATTTTCACTCGGCTTTCCCCTCACAATTGGCAGATTTTATTCCCTTGTGCAGTAAACTATTGCATTTTCTGAAGTTAATAAAGAGAAACAGACTGAAAAATTCATGTTAAAACTTCCCTGTCCTGTTTTCAGATACTTAATTTAAAAACAAGGTTGGTTCACCTGAAAGAAAAACAATGAAAATCCCCTTTGTCTTTCTTCAATTTCCTTTACCTTATACATAACTGTGACTTTTTAAGAAAAACATTAAAAATTTTTTCTACAATAATAAAGAGGACCATTATAAACTGCCCCTTCCTGTGTGTGTGTGTGTGTGTGTGTGTGTGTGTGTGTGTTCAAACAGAAAAATCTAGCAGGTCTTACATGTCTTTCAGAAAGCTAAAAATTATTGCCAGTTCTATTAGTTCACATCATTTAGTTGAGTCATGATTTGACTTTGATTTTGAAATTTATTGATTAAAACATATCCTCCTTTCCCTTCAAACCACTTCTGAAGTTGAATAAATTCTCCTTTTTCAGTTTGTAAACTTCCTTCATTGTGAGTTCAGTGGGAGGTCACTGTTTCCAGTGAACCTCTCATTTCCTTTCATGTTGCACGGTGGTCTGTCATCTTTCAGTGGTTTTGATGTGGTTCATCTTTGAGAGCCACAGGAATTCTACCCAGAGTTCATTTATCTGCTGGGAAATAAAGAGCTTGCTGGGGTTCCTTTGCCTCATTTTGCCTGGATTATAAAAGAAGGCCATCTTTAATGAGGTAAATCATGAGCCTGTAATTTCAAGTGTGTTAAAGTCATGGGTAACGTATCATGATTTTGGAAGTTAGTTTTGGTGTGTACGAAGTGGAAAGTAGAATTGAGACTACCTCTCATTTGTCAGTCTGTCTGTTCATCCGTTCACCCATTCACTCATCCACTCCTATAGGTTCTTTATTTAAATGTTTAGACATTTTTTTGATTTTTTTTCTTTTTCTAGTGAATTATATTGGAATAAAACCTGACAAAATCCCTGAAACATCAAAATCAAGATTGATGAATACTTTTGGAATATTTATTGAACCTGAGTCTTTCCCTATATGAAAATAACCTTGTTTTATTAGTTTGCTTAGGAAGAGGGGAAGAATTAAATGAGATTAGAGGTAATTTCTGATTTTACTCTATAAAATCTAAACCATATCTGAAAATTAAGTGAGGTTTACATGAAATGTGGGCAATGCTTGTGTGTGTACATGTGTGTATGTTTAAATATAAACAAAAAATATATAAAACTTAATTTAAGTTGTTGGACAACCAGTTAACTATTTATAGGAAATATTGGTTGGATTGAACCCAATCAGTTGTTTGGGAAGCAGATCCCTTCTTCCTTTGGAAGTCAGCTTTGCGCTCCTACCTTTTCCCTCTAATCAGGCTTGAGTGTTTGGAAGCTCCTATGCTACTGTTTTTGCCCGCAGTGATAACTTCTTGCTGTTGGAGTCTATGGGTTTTTAGTTGAATTGTGTATTGATACAAAAACTCAAGATCAGTTCTCTTTGGCTGACACACTCTAGAAGAGGATTCTGTCACTTGTCCTGATAAAGAAAAAGGTTTTCCTCTGTGCCTCGCTGTGAGTATGGCTGTGACAATAGCCAAGCAGTTCCCTGAGAGTGCCAGATTTGGAATCTGCCACCAGATGAATAGAGAGAAATAGACCTCTCCCTGTAGCTCAGGTGTTCAAAGCCCTGGGCTGGAAAGGGAAGATTTGATTAGCACGGGTCCTCTTGAGAACATTCTATTCATGGTACTTATACAAGAATATTAAAAAAGCATGATTGTGCTTACCTTTGAAGAAAAATGCATCCATTAACGTTTGGATGGATTTTAGCTTCTTAGATACCCTATATAAACTCCTTAAAATATGTGAATAGTTCACAATTAATGGAGTGCATTTAGACAGTTAGAGAGCCAATTTTAGTAATTCAGACCCAAATTTACTTTCTCCCTCTGACTTCTCCTTGGGATCTAAACTTTTAGAGGATAGAAATTGCATCTCTTTGGGTTTGTCTAAACCCAGGTTTGTGGGGTAGACTTAGTCTGTTGCCAACAAAGACCTGTGTTACAAGCAACGTGGCGGGAAATGAGACAGTTCTTTGAAAATGGATAAGATTTAAAACTTTAGTTTAGAATTAATGCATGGGGCTGTTAGGGTTGAGTGCTGATGCTAAAAAAATTATACTTCTTCTCTGTGGGTAGAGAGGTAAGTTAGTAAATCACTCAGTATGAGTGGAAATCAGAAGCTTGCTGAGTTGAAAGTGACCAGGGTACCCCAGGTAGCAAATATTTCAATAACTGTCTTGAATTCATTGAAGGCTTTATGACTAACTGTTGAAAGCATCATCATTGTCATCATCATCATCATATTATTATTATTATTTTGATCTGTTAACTTTAACATGCCATCCTAACTTAAAGCTTTAACTAAAATTTCTGTCCTGCATGTAGTCTGTGAGCATCTAGATAATAATGAAGGGAGTTACGGGGTTATTTTGTCCAGGGCTGTGTGGTTCAATTCAGTATGGTAGCCACTAGCCACATGTAGGCATTGACATGTAAATTAATCAAAATTCAGAATTCGGTTTTCAGTCTCCTTAGCTTCATGAGAAATGTTCAGTAGCCTGTGTAGCTTGTGGCCATCCCCTTCAGCAGTGCAGGTCTAGAGGCTACAAAAATGTCTAAGTCTCTGTAGGCTCCTGCCTGACCTTGTTTTGCTACTTTGTTTAGGAGGAGGAGGGAAAAACCTAAATGATACAGAGGCGATTTCTACCATTAAAACCTAAGCCAAATCTGAAAGTTAGACTGGTTGGTGCAAGACTATAAGTTTCAACCGTTCTGATTCATCACAACAAATATCATGACTGTAAAATCCCTCAGTGGGTGAACTCTTTTGCTCCAAGGACTGTTGTTCATTTGTGTGTTGAGATTTTTGTGGTTGTGAACAGCATAACACAAACCCAAACTCCTGGCTGATGTGACACTGATGCCTGGCAGTAATTCCCCACAGTAAGAGAATTTTCATAGCTGTTTTAGGTCTTTGTACTGTGAGTTGACTAAATTGAAAAAATAGAGTGGAAAATTGAAGTGGGCACTATCACGTTTCCCATTCCTGAGTAAGTCAGGTCATTCGGTCATTCCACTGGGGTACACTGACCACATGCTGTGTGCCTCACACTGAGCCAAATACTGACTTTATGAAGATAAGACATGGTCCTTGCTGTCTAGGGACTCAGAACTTGGAATGGAAAATAGACATGTAAAGAGATAATTATAATACAATGGGGTAAGTGAAATGATAGAGTTATAACTATAGATATATAAAGTCAAGATATATATTTATATAATACATGTAAGCAAATACAAAGACAGTATTTTAGACTTGTGATTTATTACTAGGTTTTTACATTGGAGTTCTTTTGTCTCTCACCTGCTGAAAAAATGAGGACGTGGCAGTTGGACGCCACCTTTTGATCCACTTGTTCTATAGATGCAAACCTTTAGGTTCAGACCATGGAGGGAGCAGAGCTGTGTGACTGGAGTCTGTTGGGGTGGGTGGGAAGCCAGGGATGTGTGTGTGAGGAGTGAAGGGTGGGCTGCCCGCAGTACTCGGTGTGTGATGAAGTGCCCAGTCACAGCCTTCTCCATGTCTCCCCAGCTCTCTGCGCCATTGTCGCCACCATCTGGTTCCCTGTGTGCGCCCACCGTGAGACCACCATCGTGAGCTTTGGCTACTCCCTGTATGCAGGCTGGATCGGAGCTGTGCTCTGCCTCGTGGGTGGCTGTGTCATCGTCTGCTGCGCTGGAGATGCCCAGGCATTTGGGGAAAACCGTTTCTACTACTCTTCGGGCTCCAGCTCCCCCACTCATGCTAAGAGTGCCCACGTATAAGAGAGCTGCCAGCCTGCCAGCCATGGAGGTGCTGTGGATGCTGGGCCTGTGGCCCTAGTTCACTGCCCTCGTTGGGGAAACCCCTCCTCTGTCAGGCTCCAAAGCCAAAGGTCTAGAATAGCATCCTCTCTGGCATTTTGTAGTCTTAATACCCCTCCACCCCAAATCCCATTTTGTTGCCTTAAAAATAAATCTTCAGCTCAGATAATGCCCACATGTTTTTCTCGTGGTTTTGCCCACTGTTAGCTCTTGGGTGTTCTTTTGTTGTCCATACAAGTTATATATTTACATTTTTTCTCTCTCTGACTTTAAATTTCAATTATCTTGCAAACATTGCTGAGTTGGGTGTGGGGGAGAGAAATAAAAGACACTTTTCAAACTGTTGTTACAGAAGACAATGGGAGCCTCATGAAGATGCCTCTCTGTTCCTCCCCTGCAGCTCCGAGGTCATTTAGCTGTAAGCCAGAAAGATAGAACTGGGGGTGTGGGGAGGGCGGGGGGGGAGTCCTGGAACTTTCCTTCCATGGGAAAGTCTTTTGTAAGTTGAGTGCATGGGGGTGGGGATTTTTTTTTTTTTAGTTTGTGATTTTACATTTATCTGTACATACTTTTTCAAGATTGATCATTTTTATAACCCCAGTTTTCCTGAAATTCTCAATGTAGTATGAAGGAAATAAACCAAACAGACGTTCATTATGTGATACATAACAGTGCAAGTGAGTATAACTCTAACTGGCGTTCCACGCAATGTTTTTGATTCCTAGTTTGTGTGATGTAGTTTTTAATTCTACACATGCATATGCTTCAACTTCACACACTTTAAAAGCTATTTTTCCTTTCTCTGTCTCCATTCTGTTAGCCATCTCGAAGTGATTCTTGTTTAACATCAATTGTACTGTTGAATTTGGCTTTACGGGTGTAAACTCTGACGACGAGTCAGTATCTGAGACCCCAAGCCCTCCAAACCTTGATGGTGCATTTTGTTCCTGAAGTGAAATCTGTGCAATAAAGTAACAGACTGTCTGCAAAACCGGCCTTTAATGTTCTGTTGTGTTCAGAAGTATCACATACTGATTTTAAACAATTTCAATAGTCTAGTAATTTATAGGGACCCCGATCAGTCATGCAAGAACAAGTCATTCTGCACTGCCTTGAATAATTAGAAAGTTGTATTTTATTCACTATATCATGGTGGTAATGTGTGGTCATGAAAGGGTAGCCTAGATGCTTTCCAGGTTTCTTAAGGGGAGTGACGTTAGTGGCATCTTTAAGTCACATATAAATGGGCAAGAACCAGGAACTGAGTGCCATGCTTTATACAGTTAAACTTTTAAAATCTACTTTGAACACTCAGTACAGGAATTGGGTAGGAATAAAAAGAAGTATAAAACAAACCTATTTTATTGGATTTTTAGGTAATAATATTTTCCTTGATGTTTGGAAATTTTGGGCAAAGACAGACACATTGAGTTGATTTTTGTTTTCTATTCCAGAAACGCTGACCAGTTACAATTCTGCTATAGAAAAACAGATTATGACCTATTTTGGCAGTATTTTTCCAACAATACTAATTTCATTAGTTGATGGTATGATCATTGGCAAACATTTCCTCTTTGGAAATATCCACTTGGGCTAGTCATTTTTGTAGATATTTGCGTACATTCGGAGATTATAACCTGGTGGAAACTATTTCTTAATTACCTATGCAGAAAAGATAATCTTTATGTGGACCAAAACATTTGCTTGTCATGACAGTTTTTGTAAGGACACAAGCCATGTGACTATGTTGGAAGACACTCCCTAATGCAAAAACTCATCTTTGTGACCATGAGTGGAGCCAAAAGCACTCGGGAAGGGGTGGACGTGTAAAGTTTTGGATCCCCGTGGCCCCTCTCCTTTCAACCGACCGGCTTCAATCTGAAGTCTCAAGTCCTTTCCTTCTCCCCGTACGATGGATGTCCCCACCCACTCACCTCCTTCCCTGAGGCTGCTGCTTACTTCCTCATGGGAGGATGTGTGCTATGCGAGCCCCACTTTTTCCTGTAGCAGAAGAGACACCCCAAATCTCTCCTAGCTGACCACACTAGGGAATTCCATTTTGCAGGTCATAACTCCAGTGTCGGGGAGGTGGGGGGGGGGGGAGCTGCTGCACTAGAACAGCGCTGTTCAGTAGAAATATACCAGGAGCCACACATGTTACTTAACAATGTTTAAGGAGTCCCCTTAAGAAAGCTAAAAATGAATCAATGAAATTAACTTTACTATATTGTACTTAATCCAACATCTAAACTATTATATTAATATGTAAACAGTTGTTGATGAGATATTTTACGTCTTTCTTTTTGTATTAAGTCTTTGGATTCCGGTGTCTATTTGACCCTCATGGGACATCTCAAGTGCACTAGCCACTCCTTCAGCGCTCAGGGCCCACACGGGGCTAGTGGCTATTGGCTCGGACAGCACAGTGTAGAAAAACAAGTCTGCCTCAGTAACCGTCAAGAGAGAGTCAGTCTTGCTGATTTATCTGTTCTCGTTAGAGTTCCATTAGAACCTGTCAATTACAGTGTCAATAATTGTCACCGAGGGGAAGAGAATGACCCCAATCACAGGTAAAAGTGCAGACCCAAAGTGCTCTGACCTGAATAACAGGGAAAAGGGAATTCCTGCTCTTGAACTCTGTTGTGCCAGGAACTTCACACCTTTAATGATCCCCACAGTCCCCATTGTATAGGTGAGGAAAAGGAGACTCAGAGGTCAGATAGCCACTGTAAAGAACTACAATTGGATTTCAGCCTAGTAACTCTAAAGCCCTAGGTCTCCAATTTAAGATTCACTACTAAGAAGACAGGTAAAAATGCAGATTCAATCTCAGGGTGGGGACCCAAAATCTGCATTTGTATAGCACACCCTCTGATTCTGATGAGGTGGTCCCCACCCCACACTTTGAGAAATGCTTTTCGGTAGGCCGCCAATCCCCATTTTGTCCTTCTTTGATGGTCCTGAGGGGAGACGACTTTGAGACGCACATCCAGCTTCCCCCCACTCTTCGGCCTGTTCTGGAGGGACCACATGCAGGGGAATCTCAGGTTTGAAATGAACCAGTTTAGCTCATGCTTTCCAAGAATGTGATATACACCAAGTTAGAAAAAGACTGTTTCAAGGAAGTCTCTGAATCTAGGCATGCCAATTCCAAGACAGCAACAGAGAAAAAGAAGATTATGTACTTAAGAACACAAGTTGCGTATTTGTGAGGGATTGGTGGTTTGGGGTAACAGCAGAACAAGGTTTGGTTGTATCTTGCCCTGTGTGTGTGGTTTTTTTAAAATATATTTTATTGATTATGCCATTACATTTGTTCTATTCCCCTCCTCCATTCCCCTCCACCCTGCACCCCCCATCCCCACCATTCCCCCCCTTTAGTTTATGACCACGTGTCTCAAGTTCTTTAGAGTCTATATTTCCCATACTATTCTTGCCCTCCCCCCATCTATTTTCTACCTACCATCTATGCTTATTATTTTCTGTACCTTCTCCCCCCTTCTCCTCCTCCCACTGCCCTGTTGCTAACCCTTTTTTTTTTCCGTTTCAGACTTGCATGTCAGTGTTTCTCTATACAATGTACACAATGTGAACTGCAGCATCTTAAGTGTTTGGCAGGACATTCATGCTCATGACCTCACATGCTGGAGGACAGGGAGGCCACTGTGGGGCTGGCCCCGTGGAGAAGCAGCATCAGTGCTGCCATTGAGATGTCCCCACAAAAGAGTGTGTGACAGCCAGATGTGCAGCCTGATGGAGACTGAGCCAGAATTGTGGGTGGAACATCGGCACCTGCTGCTTGTGGCTTGAATAGCAGCTCTTGAGGAATCTCTATTTCTCTACCTCGACGCAGAGTCCCAGAGCTCGGGCTTTGTGGCCCTGCGGCGGGAGGAGGGGATGGAGACGGAGGCACTTGTCACTGCTCCGTGCTCCATTGTCGAAATGAAAAATGTGGAAACGTCAAGCTAGCCATTTTTGACCTTTTTCATCTCGTGGCACACATACACTAATTGATTAAATTCTGGGGCACACCAAAAAATATATATTTTGCTGAGAAAAAATAAGTATAATTTTCATTAATTCACATCAGACACCTATTGTTGTGTCGGCTGTTGTCATTTTTAAATATGACAATCTAAGGGACAAGAGGTCAGTACCCCTGACTAAATAGTCAGGTATTGCATGTTTTAAAAATATTTGTGGCACACCGGTGTGCCATGGCACACTGGTTGAAAACTGCTGTGTTAAGCCACTTCTAAAGGATTGTGGAAAGAATTGCTTATGCTTTGTATCAAAATTACCTTCCAAATAACAAGAGGCACCTGTTACCACAGTCTGGCGCTTTCTGTAATTAAAGCAGTTGTTTCTCTTGTGTTGAGTTGCATACAGCTTTGCCTTCCAAACTGCAAAGTGCACAGGGCTCCCCTGGGGGTCTTGTTAAAATGCAGATTCTGGTCCCGCAGGTCTGAGGGTCTGCGTTTCTAACAAGCTCTCAGGGGACACCGGTACCAGTGCCATTGACCTAGCCTCACACCTGGAGTGGTACAGAAAACTTGAACACTGTAGAAAAGTACAAATAAGGAAATTAAAACCAGCCATTGTTTTATCTTTAGAGTGATTTCTTTCATCTATATTCTTGGTCTTCATTTCATTTTAAAACAAAAGCCACTAACACACTCTACATATAGCTTTGTAGTCTTTAAAAACTTAATACATGGAGAACATGTTCTGTCTTATGAGGTACTTTTCAAAAACAACTTTTTAAATAACCATAGAATCTTCCATTGTTCAAATGTGCTGTGATTTACTCAAGGAGTTCCCAAGAATATTGTGGTCATCCTGATTCCTTTGGAATGTTTTCTAAGAAATTTTACCATGAACATCCTTAGAGGGTAAATCTTTGCACACACATATGATGCTCCCTTTAAGGTAAATTCCTAGAAGGGAATTGTTGCATTGCATACTCCAGAAGTGTTTTAAGAACATTTTATTGTTTTTATGGGGGGGGGGCCTACCTTCCTCCCGCTCTTATCATAGAATGCAGTATATCAATTCTATATGTTGCTCTTTTAAAATTACTTGAAATATTTAAAATTTTAGTTATGTTGGTAGAAAATTATATAAGAAAGTATTTGTAACAAACAGTTGATTAAAAAAAGTTCAGAAGTATTTATGACAGAAGAAAAGACGCGGAGAGGGAAGGCTGGGGCTCTGAAGTCCAGCCTGCCGTACCTCACGATTCTGTTTCAGTTGACTCTGGTCAAAAGGGATCCAAACAGGAGCATTCGTCTCCAGCAGACTTTGTGCTGGGGGCGCTCTGATGTCCACAGCCCCCGGTTAGGAGTGTGAAACTCTAGGAATATTGCTTGCTAAATCATTGTTCTTTATTTAATTTGTTCCTCCCATAATCTGCTAAACATAATATATGCAGAAAAA